ATATTACAATATGCTATCTGTATTTTGACATCAGTTCGTGCCAATTATAAGAAAACTATTTTACGAACGTGAGATAAAGTAAAACGCTGAACGTAAAGATTGGATTATAATTTCTAATGCATTGCTTTTAATTGCAAACTTGGATTTAAATCAAAGTAGACTTAATCGATGAATGGTTGGAAATGAAAACCCGGCATTTTCCATAAAAATCGGCTCAGGAAATCCCACAAATTTTTGTTAAGAAACAAAGAGCGACAAATCTTTCTGATTCATAATCTACTTCTTTATTTCACGCATTTGCGAACTATTCTGCGTTATGATTTATTAGCAGGACAGAGTAAAAGGAAAAATAGAAACGTAGATTATTTGCGCAATATAATAGGAAACAGTAAGCAAAGAGTAAGTAGTAAATAGCAGGCAACAGGTAGCAAACAGCAAATAGCAAGTAGCCAGTACACAGTAGCAAAAAATAATAAGCCGAATTAAGTGAACCACATCAAATGAATATAAACAAAATCCAATGAAATAAATTCTCTCACCAGCCATATGTGCTTTGTTATTAATTATGAGATCGATGATTAAGAGCTATTTAGCTATGGGTTAGTGTAATATTATCGTAAAGAAAGCTCGAGCTAGAAAAAACTGCTTTTTTTTTTTTTGCAAAATTTTACTATATTCATTAACATAGTCAGCTTTAAGGATAACAAAAAAAAAAAATAAAATAGAATAAACTCAATGCTTCTCTTCGATGCCATTTTATAGAACGATCACCTTCCATGCAAGCCCTTAAAATACGCTTCAGTTTCTGCAATGACTTCATCGTTTTGCTTGGGAATCCATTTGTCATAAGATAATATTTGCTTGCGGGCATGTATGTGAGGATACAATAGACGGCATAGCAATTTGAAGCTTAGTTCATTTGGAAAGAGACTATCCCATGTCTACATTTTTATGCAAAAGTGAAGATATTTTTTGATACTTTTAGTATATCAGATAACTCTTAAAATTTCACGTTTGGATTATGGGGAACAATTTTAACGATTTTTTAAATATTTTTTTGTGTCATGGATGGTCTTGGACGTCCACTGCGTTCATTAGCCCATTCTTGCGATCTCGCTTAAAATCGGCAAGTCAACGACAAAAAACTATCCGCGATAGAAAATTGGGGCCATAACATTTTCCAAGCCAATGCTGAGTTGATATAAGATTAAATTAAAATTAAATTATTTTGAAAATAACAAGAAAAAGTAGGAAGCAAACGAACAAAGTAGAAAGAAATTACAGGATTTTTGTTAGGGAAGATCTCATCTTCGGAAATTATTGACCGATAGGTGGTATGGAATGTAGATATTTTTTTTAATTCAAGACGCATATCAGCAAAGCAATAGAAATATATTAATGAATATTTCAAAAAAACTCTTTATTGGGAGCTTACGAATAAATAAACAATCAGTACTGTTTTTAAGTTAAATCAGAGAAAGGTGTGTAAGTCAAAGCCAGGACAATAACCGAATAGATTGCTATATAGTATAACATATTATATTATATAGGTAGTTGTAAGCAAGTAGCCAAGCAGTTTAATTTGATAATAAAAATTATGGCGATCTACTTTTAGGCTCACTTGTAAAATTAAATTTAGTTTAGTTCGCGTATTTTCCAGATATTAATTTTCATGTTTTCTTTTCATTGCAGTGAAACGCAGCTGAGGAATCCAAGCAAGTGCTAACGTTAAAGAAAGATTGTACAACCACACATATCAACAGTTCTTTTTGAAATTAAGGAAGTCAAAAAGCAAACAACAATAACAATAATTTTTACAATAACCGAACAAATTTGCATAATTGAAGAAAAAGAAAATTCCCGCGTTTTTAGTAAAACGATTGCACGATTTTAAATTAATGAAAAAGCACTGAATTTCGAAAAGAGAGACAAAATACATAGAAAAACATACTTTAAGCTTTTTCTATGGACAAAAGTAAACGTTTATAGAATTTTGCTCTTTACTTTTAAGCTAAGAGTACAATTAAAGAAGACTTTCCAAGGGTCGGACTTACCGCAGTCACTCATAAATCCCCTTTTTTTAAACGAACTTCATACAATTTCAACAAATTGCAAATTGTATGACTTATTGAAAACAAAAAAAATAATGGCAGATAATGACCATAAAACGACCTCTAGTTTATCGTTAAATGACGTGAATAATAACGCTTCCCTTCAAATGCCCAAACCGGGGGAAGCGCAGCTAATAACTAAGCTGGCTGAGAATATAAGTAAAAATTATCAAATTGCGAAACAAAGGCAACTAAAACAACATAGTTTAGGCAATGCAGGCCAAGCAATGAAAATGAGATATCCAGAATTAAAGTCAAGCTCAGTAACAACTGACATAGATGAAGAATGGCCGGAGATTAGTAGCTTGTCGGAGAATAAATTGAAGCGTAAGAAAACTTTATCTTCATCTCTAACCTCGGTGTCAGATACTGTAAATCAAGAAAAGCGCACTCGCATAGAAGGTATGCAATTGAATTGTCGCGGCAAGCTGCCGATTAAAGCTGACAACGCCAGCACCTCTGAGGCATATCCGGCAAATAAGTTGGAAAAATCAGAAAAGATAATAGGTAAACCACCTCTACCCAATAGTGCTTTAAAGCAAGTGCCACAAACGAATACTTTTGTACAACCACCGAGACTGAAACGTAAATTACAAGAGAATGTACAAACCATACAAAAGCTCAATGCTCTCACCGAACAACTGCGTTTAGAGATCAACGAACTGAAAACGAATTTAACCACCGAAAGAGGAGCGGTTAGAGTTTTAAGGTAAGTCTTAAGTAAAGATATTACTTAAACATAACTTATGTTTGTTACATGTTTTTTAATTCTAGAGCTCAAAATGAAGCAGAAACCCGGAAGTGGAAAACTGAAGTTAAAAAATTGCAAAATGCTTTAGAGCTTTTCAAGAAAACCAATGCGACGATTGCATTAAAGAAAAATGAGAATATTAATAATGAAACCATGATGACCTCCACCAATGCAAGCAGCTTAGTCCATTATGAAATACAAAGACTGACCGCAGAGATTAATAATCTTAAAGAAGCCAATAAAACACTTGAGGAAAAGAAACTGGTATGTGAATAAAAATAGCCAAATATTACCAAATAAAGTAAATAACTAACAAAAATAGCATGAAGATATTTGTTGAAAAGTTTCTTAAGACATCAATAATAATATTTCGTAGGCTTTTATATCCATTAACAAAGAACCAGAGCTTAACAGATTTTACAAGTGCATAATATGTTCATGTTGCGCTATTCTCAACTGGCGACGGAACTTACTCTCAATCACCAGGAGATTATTTTAAAAAAATTAAATTTTCATCTCAATTTTGATACTAATATTTGTAGATTGCTGTGAGGATCGATATCCCGTAAAATATCGATGAAACAATTTCAGATTTATGCTCGTTGCAAAGCTGGCAATTCGCACTAAAAAAATTTTTTTCTTGTTTGGTCCATTTAGATGTGAGTTATAGGGTGTTAAAAATAGGCATCAACAAAGAGAAAATTCGGCCAAAAAGCCGAAATGCAAACTAGGCGGATGAAAATTCGAATGGTCCCGATATTGTAACAGCCAATTATATTAGATTTTGGTTTCGTCGATTCCGTTCAGGTATTTTTTATGTTAAAGATGCACCTCGCACAGGTAGGCCTCTCGTCGAAATAACAGAAACGATCGAAGTTAACCGGCACGTGAACAGTTCTAGCACAGTCCAAGTGCTAAAGATCGACCATAAAACGGTTTCAAACTATTTGCACAGATCTGGATTCAAAAACAAACTTGATGTTTGAGTGCCACACCAATTAATACAAAAAAACGTGATAAACCGAACTTCCGTTTGCGAAGACATAACCAAGCGAAATAAAATCGGTCCATTTCTTAAACGGATGGTGACTGTGGATAAGAAATGGGTCACATACGACAAAATTGTGCGCAACTTAAACGGTAGCCAAACCAACGGTGGCTGACGGCCAGGAAGGTTTTATTGTCCATTCGATGGGATGAGAAAGAAATCATTCGGAATCGGACGGCCAAACATTAAATTAGGATTTCTATTGTCAACAACTGCACCGTTTGGAGCTACCGATTGACCAGAAATGGCCGGAATCGGCCAACAGGAAAGGCGTTGCTTTCCAACACCAGGCTGTGGACGTCTATAGCGATTCGCCAAAAATTCCGGGATCTTGGTTGGGATGCATCCATCATATAGTACGTACCTGGCACCAAAAAAAAAATACCTTAGTAATTAGAAATTGACATTGTGAAAATCGATTACTAGAATTTTTCATCGATAGGGACCAAGACTTCTAAGAGAAGGGCATTATTAAGCTACCTTTAAAATGGCAACAATTTACAGAACAACAGTGCATATTTTATCACAATTGCTAGTCCGAAACATGTTAAATAAAATCTTGCGATAAGCAGTCAACGGCCAGTTAATGTCATTTATTACTATTCGCTTAACTAGATGGCGTGGAGGCTTCAAACGTAAACTTTGTGCAAATTTTGGGATACTCTTCACATGCATAGACTCCGTCCCAACATTAGCTGACTAGGCAATCCAATTTAAGCAGATTAGAGCAAGGCTTAGAAGATTAGAGTATACAGTTTAGGGAAAGTAGCGTAAGCAGGCTAGAGAATTTAAGCGGACTGAACTAGGTAAGATAGGCAGACCAGAGTGCACAGCTTAAGCCACTGGAAGAGGGAGCCCTAGCAGACCAGATTGGGCAGCCTTAGCAGTCTAGCCTAGATAGGCAAATGAGACCAGATTGGGTAGACTAAAGGGACGAGCCACTCTAAGCAAGTTCAAAGAGGAAGCTTAAGCAGCTCGGATTGAGCGGCAGTAACCATAAAAAGTGAAGGAGATAAAATTCATCTTTTGGTCCATTAAAAGGTAATGTTAAGAAAAAATTAATCCGCAACGTCAGTGGTCAACAACACACACTTTCAACTCCAGAGTATGTCGTTGCGTCCAAAAAAAAAAAAACCACAGATGAGCGGATGCGGCTTAACCAATTCAGAATTTCGAGCCGATGAAGAATATATTTACGTTATGGGGGGTCTCTCAAGCTTCATTTTGCGTTTTGCAAACATTATGAATACACCCTCTCTTTCAGTGGTCGATAGAACTATACAACTAGATTTAGAATTGGCTGGTCGTGTTAATAATGAAATATAAGGAGTGGAAATCTTTCGGTCGAGGAAGTCGGACTTTAATTTTTTTCGTTATATAACCCTTCTTCTAAACGCGAGAAATTAGCCCGATACTTTTAATGTTTGTTTTGTTTATTCACATTAATTTGCAACTTTTTAAAATGCGAGAATACAACTCTGAATTCTATTGTCGTACTTGGACATGGACTATATCATATACGCTGATGGCGCATGTATTCAGCATGTATTCAGCAACAGCTTGCTTTGCTTTTCTGCAAATTGGAAGTTTGCGAAGTCAACCGTGCTTTAAACTATATCCGTACAAAGAAGATATTCAATTCCCGTCAAAGGAAACGTCAAAGCAGCTCCTATTATATATATATTGCGGGTGCTACTAATTGATTTACCACTAGCCATTAACGCGGTGGTTTTTTAGTCTTAGAGACTGTTTAACGTTTTAAATATTTATTTTAGATAATTACGAGGTCCTAGAGATAATAGTGTGCACTTGCATCATTATCTCACAGACGCCCAGCCCGAAAATACACCTTTAGGGACTCGATAAACTGCCTGTTAAACCGCTAAAAAGATTAATTAACAGAGCATACACGCCACAGTTTCATTTTCGCAACACAATCACACGCGAGTTATAATTCCTTCGGTAAAGAGAAAGCAAGGCTGCCCATTCAATGCGTGTTGGTTTTTTTCTTTCACCACGAAGGCCATCTTGTATGATTCTTGGATTTCATTACTATATATATTTGATCTAACACCAAAATACGAAGGTTCCGTTAATTCAACGAACAAATTTTCTTGGAACGGACCGCTGAACAGCCCTGAGCGAAATCCTAGCTATAAATAACCTCCGTTACAAGTGGCCATCACCATTGAAGGATGGTGGCTATACTCATTTGGTCGTAATGTTTGCCATGCGTAGTAACCCCTGTCTATCTGTCTGCGTGTCTGTGTGATGTGCGTTGTTGATATTCTCCTGGTCGCAAAAATGAGGATGTCGACTTCAAATTAGGTAGTTGGATTGGAACTTTTTGCACGCAGTTTAGTATTGAACAAGCCCGCAGTGAAGAGTAAACTGAGGGCATCTCCGTGTTTCTGACCAAAAATTTATGACTTTTTGCTCATTACTCACAAATTATGAAAGAAAGAAAGCTGAAATTTTCCTTTGGACTCCGAGAGTAGAAGCAGATAAGATAAGTGTATTAATGTTAAATAAGTTGTGTTAGGCGTCACGACGTAGCGGATTAACTTTTTTGTCACAATATTATTGATATGGGTATCACATGAAAGTACTTGGGGAGTAGAATGCGGAAAGCCAAATTAATTATGGTGGACGGCAGGACATGGTAAATTAAATTTTCTTAATAATACCTTTTAATGAAGCAAAAGATGAAAGACATATTTTATCCCGTTCACTTTTTTATGACAATAAATAAATGTATGTGGAGCCAAAAATATCAATGGTGGTGCGTACGCGAGATTCGGTCCCAGCCAGCTGGATTACATGTTTTAATGCACGAATTTTTTTTTCACTCATTTTCGAACGATGCATATTTTGTGACTTTACATCGTCGTTTATGAAATAGTTAGTGCATAAAGCTACGAACTTTTTTTTTAACTGCTATCAGATATACAATAATATCTAGTAACTGATCTAAGGAAAGACATGACCTTCAACTGTTCGTAATGCACATCATTAAAAATACGAATCAATGTATAAGGCTTCTCTAGTCCTTGACCTATCATCCCATAGTCAGATGCGTCTATGAAATGAGACACATATATATTAAGTTTTATCGTAATTACTAACATTCCCGTTAAGTGAGTTGTGCTATACTAATTGCTCGGCATGTTTCTTGTGACTGCTCTGTGTCAATTGATATTGAAGGAAAGAATGAAAATTGAATTGCGATGATGTGGTATGTCTTACAGATTAATTGCGACGCTGATAGACGTAAAGCAGCTGATATACGCGAATTAAGAGATTCTTATGAAATCCGATTGACTCAAATACAAAAATCTGCCAAAAATGAAATTACACGATTGGTAAGTTTTCAAAAATTAAAAAGTAAAACGAAAACAGACGAAGAAATGAATTTTTTTATTTTTTTTTATTTTTTGTAGACATAGTAGAAGTAAGAGTTGTTTAGCAAATTTCAAATATTTTCTCAGTGACTCATAAAGGTGTTTAAGAATTTAACATGTGAGAATATGTTACGGTGCAGACAAAAAAAAAAATTCTTAGTTTTTTCATTCACATAAGTTCAGCAAACATGAATGACCATTAATAATGTGGCCAGAGAGCCGTAGGCCAATTTTATTTCTTACCTTAACAGCAAGTAAGCAGTCATGTCTTTACGCCATGAAAACATTGGGTTGAAATACCCATAAGTTGATTAGAGCCTTAGTAAAGGATTTTGCTTTTTAATGCACACATACACATAAGCAGCGAAGGCGTAACAGGAAAGATACGTAAAATATTATTTTTTTTGTCTTAAATTATATTTTGAAATTATTAATGCTAGACATAGAGGATCAGTGAACTTTTGCGAAATTTATTTAAATTTTAACTTTGCACGCACTTGTAGCAAAGTTAATGGATTTTTGTAATTATTTAACAAATTTTTGGTACTTTTACGCAGGTGTGTGTTTTATTTAAGAGATTTTTGCTTAATTATAAAGTGTATGATAAATTTTTTGTTAATAGGCTTAAATATTGAAAGGCGCCTTATGCTCGATGATGAAATAAGAACATGTTTACTAAACATGTTTTCTTAAAAAAAAAAAAATAAAAAAAAAAATGTATAAGCATTTTATTATTGCACCCATTATCGGACGATATATTAAATTTTTCATACCCTTTATGTTCGCTGGAAGTAAAGCGCGGAGACACTGTACCGAAGCTATGTATAAAGTTTCACAAAACAGTAAATTAATTAAGCCTTTAATTCGTCGTTCTATTCTTGCTTCCCTCTAGGTATGTTTAGCCGTATATTTTTCTTATTTATGCATGTATTTTTTATATGAAATCTTAATTTGACATACTTTCAAACTTTCAATTTCTATGGACTTCCATTCGACATTTTTTTAATAAAATTAATTTGCAACTGTAAGGTCACAGGTCATAGATACCTACCCGCATTAGTTATAGAGCTTGTGCAGAGAAACAATTAGAGGCAATTCAATTAATCAAATCGCTCTACAACTAACCATGGTAATCGTTAACTGCAGACACCAGCAGGAGTTTATGTGTTTGAAAATGAGAACACTTCCCTTTTAAGGAGTAGTATTTAAGGAGTCATCAAAAGATTTCAAAGTCTGCTGCAACCCATTTCAGCATCGAGCTGAACAGGCAAGGAATGAACGTTTGGCCAAGCGCGTGTTAACGTAAATCTAGAAACCTGAAAACTTGGAAAAGCGCAGTCGTTGAATGAAAAAGTGAAGCAATTGTGATCGAAGGTTTTTCAATTTTTTGGTAGTAAGCAATAAACTTGATCTGCGGGCTTCTATTAAAACAATGCGAAGTAATTTCAATTTTTGCGACACTAAAAGCGCGATTGTTACAGGCGTAAAATGAACGCATGTAGTCCAATTCCTTCCCAACGCTCTCACAAAGAGTATAGCCTTTATTTTCGATTTCTATTAGGGGCATAAGGCAAAATGCTGATGTGATTTTAAAAATGTGCTTGGTCTACTAATAACACTATGATATGAAAATATTGTAAAACATACCTACTTAAGGCGCGTTGGTTCCTCCAAACGAATAGGTTCTGCTTTAGATTGACAGTACTGTAACGGTAAATATGTTAAATTTCATGATTGTATCTGGAATAGCTAATGATATACGCTTGCTTACTTTTATCTAAAAGGTATAATACTTTATCTGTTCAATCGTCCTTAATCGTTATGCCGAAAGCGATTTTTTGGGCTTCAACAGTAGTCAATCTGATGAATTTATATCAAGCGATTAGAGTGGTTGCGGAACGACTTGAATTATGCTTGAGATCAAAGTCTACTAATGTCTTCTGAGAAGATGCACTCTCGAGATATAAAAACAATGACATGTGTGCTCACAATTCTAGGCGCGAATATTGTGTAGCACACATGTAGTATTCTGCATTGTTGGGTGCATTCACCCGAAGGAATTAATAATGTGGTACACAAAGATAACAAAGAAAATATAGTTCTTCCCGTTTTTTAGGAAATCCTCTATCATATGTAAATTATTTATTTATTTTGCATGAACTTTAACATTATATGATCGCAAGAACTTTGGTTTCGTGTGCCTTCAATATTTTTTTTATATTCGCCTACGAAGCTTAAGGAGGATACTCATTCATTTTCATCAAACGTTTGCAATATCCAAGGGGAAGCTTCGGTGATCCCATTAACTAACTATTTTTTGGTCAACATTAAATTTTGAACTGACTTAAGTATCTGCGTCTAGCCCTATGTGTAATGTTTACGGCAAACTTTTTTTCGGTCGAGAAAATTAAGATATCGGCGTCAAATCTAGCAAGACTACTCGTAGTGAGTAAATTGAAAATATGTCAGCAAAAGATTGTTGTTTTAGATTATTATTATTATGCTTTTTGCTAAAATACTCATGAACTAGAACGCATGCAATGATGGAAGACTCTCCCGTATATTCTACGAGTGATCCTAAATAAACCATTCAAAAATGGAAAAAATCAACCGCGATCGCTCAATCTTACATCTCTTTTCAAAGTTTTTGTAAGATAAACTCGATAAAAAAGATTCGGTCAATGTTCAATATAATTGTCTTAATTGTTTATAATTCCGTTTCACGTTTATCACTTCGTTTTTAACAGTAAGAAGCAGAACTGTTACATGCTCTATCTCACCCTACAGTTATCCACATAGGTGTTGATCGAAAGCGGTGTCCAATCCGAATCATTTTCAATAGCGTTCGTGCTTGGGGCGAAATACGCCGAAGTGTACCAAATTTATTCAAAATATCTCAAAAGTTAGACGTAAGTTGAACACAAGAATACAGATGGAGAGATGGACCGACAAGCCCGATCTCAAGTCCTCTTGGACCTTGCATATATTCGCAGAAACTTGATATACCCTTATGCCAGAAGTGATGCGGGGTATAAAAATTTATACCGGAGACCGAGATGGATTGAGTATTTGTGTTACAAGGTGCATTAAAACCTTGTAAGTCATTGTTAAAATGGAAAAAGTTTATCGTTTATGTTTGAAAATGGGCAGCTGACAAGCGCTTGGCAATAGCTATAAAGTAAGTTCAGTCTATATTAGGTGTGTAAATAACACATTTCCAAGCCGTTCATTTGAAGTGTTTTAAAAGGCATGCAAACGTATAATGGCACGTCTTTGTAAATGAGCCATGATAATTCCATTAGCCTTTCCAGGCTTGAACGTTTACCAGCCGCCCAGTCTTTTATTCTCTCAATTTTCACCCCTTTTGACAAGGCAATGCGAACAACTAAGTGCTGCCCGTTTCGGTAACTTCTTTGCTTTAAGGAGGACCTTTTCAATAATAATGTCAAACTCGTGAGCAAACTTATGCGAGAATTAGATTAGGTATGCCCTCAATTAATTGCGTTGGTATCATAAAGCGATTTCAATAATCGAAGTTAGCCTTGGTGGTGGGGATTCACAATTTATTTTAAAAGCGTTGTAATTTTATTTATTTTCAATTAAAAATGAATTTTTTTGTTTTTTTTTTTTTATGTTACAGCTAGAGGAAATAAAAACTAAGGAACGTAATATTGGGCAACTGAAAAAGGACTTATTATTATTACAAAATTCTAAGGCTACCAGCAATGATTTAAAAAGGAACGCCACCAGCAGTAATGCAACGATCACAACAAACAATGTAACGAGTAAAACAACAACGACTACAACAATTAACCCACAATTACAAAGTAATAATATCAATACTAATATTAATAAAAATTATAATAAATTGAAATTAAAACAAATTGTGAAATTAACACCGCAACAAATTAAGAAAAATTCTAAAGACAGTAATAATAATATTAATAATACTAAGACCATCGAGAGTAACAGTAATAGCAACGAAAACGCGAAGGATATCACAGACGAAGCTCAACATCCAATCGAGGTAAGTAGATCAATAAACAAATATTAAATTGTGTTTTTTTTCAATTTCCAAAATTTTATTCAACATTTTTTGTTTGAATTATAATATTCCGAGATATCCAAGAGATAAAAATGTTTTCCATAATCAATTCTCCTGCCATTTTTAGTATAAAATTTTTTCGTTATCTATTTTCCTCAAATTGATCCCAAGAAATGCTTCCACTGAAGGTGGCCATCAATGCAATTAGTGTTCTTTAACTTGATGCCTTCAGACGGAGATTGAAGGTATGAAAGAACGGCTTAAGTGTCCAGATGCGATATTTTCTTGCATTTCTATGCCTTCAAGCCAATGAATCGTTGTAAATTAAATTTGATGACATGGATTTTTTCATAATTTTCGATTTCTCCTTAATATGACCCGCGGATAACCAGCGGATATCCTTTATTCCTGTATAAAGACAGTGACAGTCATCTGGTGAAAGAATGAGTAGAGAAGGGCTGTATACCTTATCGGTAAGTGGTTTGCCTCTACCGAATGAGCATTCACTAGTGCTATAATAAGCCTATCACAATTAGAGTATGATCTATCAAGCTGGGAATTGTAACCGGATTTACCGGCTTTATATTCGGGAGCTGTAGGCTTTTTTTATGATCGTTTGTAAACATTACTTATAAAAGTCCTGAAAATATCGAAACAAGTGAATCCATTAAGGTGACAAGCAAAAACTTTTGAAATCCATAGCACAACAGTAGATTTCCGCAGCTTGAAATGTCATAAAATAAAAGCAAAACAAATCTTACGAAAAAATCTCAACAGAATCAACCGAATATGAAAAATGTTGGTATATTTAAGAATGATGAGCTAGCTTGAAACCTACCTTGTCTAGCGATTAAATATTTTATGAAGGTTACGTTTGGCAAGATGTGCACCGAAAATTCGCCTCAAAGCATTGTATTTTTATGATTTATATCGATTGTGAATGATTTATGACATTTTTGTAAAAGTATTATTAAGAAATATTTTATTTTAATGTGTTATATCTGGATGAGTGCAGACCTCGACAAAATTTTTCAGTTATTGATATTGTTTTTGGTTTGGTTGGCTAAGCAAAACTAAAATTCTTGAGAAGAAAATCAACTCGCAAAAGAATGTTAGTTACGCCTCCTATGTTTTAAGTAAGCGATTAACCCAGTTGATGCTTCGTTTGACTCTTCTGTTTCGACAATTGAAAGAAAGTAGTAATAATAGAAAAACTTTTCATTACATTAACCTACGCAAAGATTTGTTGTCACAGATTTGCATGCGGTTTACAGGCAAAATACTTTTTCCGGCAATCGTGTCAATAAAGAATAATTATCCATAAACACGTAAAATAGCAATTAGTTAAAACATATTTATTTACGCTATATATTAATTTGACAGCGCCAGACACTCATGAATTAAATAACATTTTATAAACTGTATGTAAAATTCTAAAACATTTAAAGGTAATGACAATGGAGGAGAACTTAATCACTTAAAAACTTTGGAAATGAATTAAACTTTTTGGGCATTGCTTCAGATGTATATGTAAAAATTGCTAGAGCGCCTAGATTTACTCTAAATGGTACGCTATATGTAAAACTAGACAGAAATTTGCACTTGTGAGTTGGTACGATTCATCGCTCAACTCGATCTAAAGTAGGCCTAAGGAATCAATATTAATCCGCATTAAGAATGCTAATAACAAACGGATAAACGGCTCGATGTAACGCCGTCAGTTCGTAATTTATTTCGCATATCTTTAGATGCCTGGGATTCATTACTTTGGATGTATTAAATTATTGTGTGCTTTCTGCACCTTTGGAGGTATAGCGGTGAATACCCGTAAGTCTTTTTTTACACGTTAGATGTATTCCTTAGAAACCCGTGCAAAAAATCGTGCAAAAAATATATGCCACTTAGGGTCAATATGTTCCATAACCTTAAAAAGTCGTGTAAGATAAAAAAACTACAAATATTTTTCCAGAAAACCGTGCAAAAAAAGTAAAAATGAAATCCACGTTACTTTTTACAAAATAAAAAAAATTCTTTTTCTTACAAAAATGAACTAAAGTTAGTGTGCAGTGAAAATTCAGTTCATAAGTACAAAAGTGCAAAAATTTTAATTGAAATTTCTAATAAATATAAATTTCCCAACTATGACTAAGACGTGTCACTAACACATGTGTGGGCATAAACCGAATGACCTCTGATCACAGTATTCCCTCAATTGTATTTTGCTGCTATGTACATAAGTTTCTGTTAGACGCTCCCAAGATTAGAGTTAAGAAAATTTTTCTTTTCGATTCGCGATAGACCAAAAAATTCGTGTAAAAAAGGTGTCCTTGCTCTTACTGGTGAAATGTGTTATTCCAAAATTGTATAAAATATACAGTGAGTGTTGGGTTTAAATTAGCAACTCAGTGGTCGTGGGTTCGAATCTCAAGTGCGGTAGTGTTTTTAATAAAAGGCCGATAGCCTTAGATACTAGTGCTTTTAAGAGTTTAGTCTTAGAATTTATTTCTCTGGCGAAATTAATAATAATAATAATAATAATAAATTATTAATGGGAACATTGTGGATACATGGTGATGCAGTGGACGAGCAAATTGCCCGGCATAGGAATTATGGACTATATTTTGTATGCTGACTAGAAATGTTTGCACAATGCCTTTGAAGCCTTTTTTCGAATAATAAATTCAGAACGATAAAGCGATGTTATCATTTGACAGTAATGGGTAATAAGAAAGCCATATGTTTTTCTTTATATTTTCATTAAGGATCTTTGTTTACCTATTCATTTAGACATTGCGTACTATCGCATATTTACATCACTTAGTAGCAGCTTGACAGTTATTTGACAAACGCAAAATCACATTTTCATTCACAAAGCCCCCTTCAAAGTAGTTAATTTGTTAGTAGTTGTGATGAATCCGTGGTGCAATATTTTATATTAATCTATTAAGATTAGTAAGAAATATTTAGATTTGTTCTTCTAACCGAAATATTGTGAAAAATTTAAAGCAGATTAGTAGATAGCTAAACACGCTTATGTCGGTATCGCTATTTGCTCTGGTCAAGTATATGCATATTCGATGGGATTCCCGATACATATTTCTATGGATTCAAAGCATTTAGCTAATATTAGAAACCAGCTACAATGGATGGGTATAAAAACTATTTAATATGAACTCTTATGGCATAAACTCTTCGTCTCTATTATAAAATATTCAAGATTTTTTGCACAATTATTAGGGAAGATTTATAAAAAGTCTTACTGTACTAGGTTTGACGTGCTACACTATCAAACATGTTGCATGTTGCTGCATGGTATGAAAAAAGGGAAAAAATAGCCGGTTTCAAGTATTAAACGATACCAAACCAAACCGATAGTCATGAAAAAATAGAAGAAGCATCAGCACAAAAGTAACTAAAACGAATCAAGTGCTAATGTTTGTTTTCATATCCAACAGATATTTTGTTTAGTTGAGTTTGAGTTACATTTCGGTGCGCATGCGTTACGCGTTTTTTAAAAACAATATTTTTAAGTGACAATTTTTAAATTGCGGAAATAACAAAAAAAAAAAAAATTATACTATTTTAGTTTTATTATTACTAGATTTTATATGAAATCCGAGTAAAATAACTGTTAAAAGAAAAAAACAAAATAATAAGAAAAACTTAAAAAAAAAAATTTAACCTAATTATAAAATTTAATAATAAATGTGCGTTCGTATCAAGCGTTCAACGACCAGCACCAACGCTTTGGTAATTTGAAACCTTCTTTCAGTTATTGATTTTATGGGTAAATCGTATATACCTATGTAAGCATTACTGTGAAACCTTGTTGTGTTGTTATGTTTATTTGACCGTATGTGTGTATGTGTTTTTAACATAAATCGTTACAGCGATTCATTACAATTTGCAAAAGATATCCATGTAGACTGGGTTCTGAATTTTATGCTTTTGCATGCATGCGTGTTATTCTTAATATTATGTGTGTCTCTTGTATTATTATTATTATTTTTTTTTTTTTCTTAATATTCTGTTTTCTGTGAAATACGATTCCAGTGTGACAAGTTTATTTTTTTGCTGTATTTGTAAAGTGATTGTAATTTAAAACCAATACATAAACAAACAAGTTTGCAAAGTGCAGTTTTACTCCAACAATATGACTAAAGTGTAACACAGTAGAAGAGCAACGGTATTGGAAATAATGTAAGGTAAAGAAGACCCTTAAACCAAAAAGACAAATCTCAGAATTGTTGAGAATTATTTCATTCGGTGACAAATGAAAGGACAGACGGACAATCTCCTTCCTGGGGCAAACAAAAAGTTCATTTAAAAAAAAGAAAAAAAAAACAAACAACAATGCATTCGTGTAAGATCAGAGCTAACATGCGGTTTTATACATTTAACATACATACAAGCGTGCACTCACACACACACACACACACATACATACATACATACACACATCTATATTATATGCTATAAAGAGACAGCCAGTCAGTCACTCTGTCTCGTTGATCTCACCAAAAAGAGGATTTATGTCTTCCTGTGAGACAACGCATAGCCAGGCAAAGAAGCACCTGCAAATGAAATGATATATGAATTGCACACAACCAGGAAAACGATTTAAAACGTTTGGAATTTTAAATATCTCACAAAATATACACATTTATCAATAGGAGATTTTCGACTTTGCAAAGACATATATGCACTTTGTTCTTTACTTCGATAAAAAGTGTTAATCTAGTCATTAGTCATTTACGTTTTTCCTTAAGTGTTTTTCATTAGTTTTCATTAGTTATTAAATGTAAAAATTTTTCTATTAAAATTAATATTCATAGACAACATCTAACTACTAGTATCGCCATTAGAATTTCATGCCATGTGTGAATTACGTTACTACAACAAAACAATTGTGAAATGATTCACTGTTAAGTTGAAAAGATGTTCATAATCCATCTCAAGTTCACGTAGGTATCGTACATTTG